CCAGACAATTTTTGCAAACACTCTTCTCTGTTTGTGAGAGACACTTTCAGAGAACCTTCTCAGAGACTGGATTTTAAATTCACAAAAGGAGAAAAATATTTTGTGGTTTTAAGCAAATGTTTCACTTTGTACATTATTATTACTTTCAAAATTTAGAGCAGACTTCTAGAAGCTGAATCAGATTTAAAAGGAAGCAGTTCCACTCTAGTCCTCAGCAGATACTTTCTCTTCACCTGTAGCTTCAGATCTCTAAGATTTTCTGGTCCTAAGGGTAGGCAGGGCAGAGTTCACCTAGCACAGCAGCACTTGTTTATCATGTACAGCACCACAGAAACTGGTTGTGGTGGTGTAAACCTGTAATACTAGCACTTCAGAAGGTTAGAGGCAGGAGGGTCATGAGTTCAAGGTCATTCTTGGTCATACATTGTGTTTGAGGCTAGTGTGGTCTACAGAAGAGCCTGCCTTTAGAAAAAAAGAATTCCTTGTCAGGAAAAGCTTATTTATATACACAGCCTACTCTGAATAAATTGGAAACATTTTCCAGAATAAGGTGAGGCAGTTTACTGTTTGATCTGATCAGCTACTTCTTCAGCAGTTGTGGGGCTCTACCTTCAACTGGGATTTGTTATTTGCCCATTTGGCCATCTGTGCAGGCATGGCACTGGAGCTTATGTTTATGTAAGTATTCCTAGGCTGGCTAGGACACAGTGCTGTTTCATAAGCCTGATGAGGACAGGAAACTCAGGTTTTGGATCAGGCTGAAATGGTTTTGAAATATGGGTCCATATCTACTAGGTCAATGACTTGGGTTAAGTTTATTAGCCCTTCTTCTAAGCCTCACTTGCCTACTTGTTAAATGGCATGCCAGAAGACATGCCATAAAGTGGTATTTGAGAGATCTGTATCCTAATCCACACCACTCCACTTAATGGTGCCATGGTCTCAATGTAAATTACTTAACTATTTCATACTTTTGTTTTTCCAATTTGCAATGTAGTAGAGAGGTTATTTTTGCTTTAGTATACTCTTAAAATTGCATGATATTACAAGGACCTATGTTAAATGCAGATGTTGAAGTATCACCTCCATTTTCTCATTAGACACTTTTTGGAGGTACCACAGTAGGCATGAAGACATTAAAGATCAAAAGGGTACTTGGCCCTGGAACTCTTTTCCTTCACCTAAGATACATACTCTTAGGCCAGATACAAATCCCATGTTTCTCAAATTTCAAAAATTCACTGAACAAATACTAGAGGAGAGCTAAATATGAGTATGTTTTTGTTAGAAATTTTAAAAGGGGAAATAAAATCAATTATCTTCAAGCACAGTCAGTATACATAAAAGGGTTTAGCTTATGAAGACTTAATCCTAAATCCATTTCTGCTTTAAAATTCCCCATTGAGTAAAGGTTCCTTTTTATATAAATTATAAAAAAATTTGTAGCTTCAAAGGAAAATGTTTAGGAGTTTTTGAAGAAAACATATAGCTGATATATAGCTACAGTATAAAGCATAGTCATTATGCCATAAATAGGAGATACAGGCCAGATGCAGCTGGCTTGGGAAAGAAGCATATATGAAATTATCCTTCAGGATGAGCATTATGAGACCACTTGGCAAAGATATTTCATAAAAAAGACAGCATGATGGGGCCTGGAAGGGAGAAAGTCTTCTTTTAAAAGACCTAGAGTAGTTTCGTTAGGGGGGATAGATTGAAGTGGTAGAGTGGGAGAGAGCCATAAGAGAGAGGAGAGACACATGAACATGATGAGGTTACTAAAGGAAAGTCTTCAGATCCTCTCAACAACGAAAGGACTTTCTGTCTTCTCTAGGTTTTTAAAGGTGGTGGGAAGTCCCACTTCACATGATTAAGTATGGTTCAGTGTATGTGCCAAGATGCAGACACAGGTAGTACTTCAAACTTATCTTAACAGCAAAAGTGAGGGGCTGCAAGGGTACTGTGTAGCATAGCTTCTTAACTGCTGCAGAAACAGATGCAGGGGTATGTGACCTGATTTCTGTGACTGAGAGAGAAAGGCAGAAAGCTACAGGGTCTGTGGTCAAACATTCATACTTTACTGATGCAATTGCTTTGCAACTGCAAGGTGTCATCTAAAATTTATTTTTTTTTCTGTTTTCTTTTTGTTTTTTCTCTTCAAATGAAAAATGTTTTGCTCATATAATGAACTATTTCTTTTTAAATCTCTGTCCCATGAAAAATTACTATGCTTTGGAAGCTGATAACCAAATAGTATTGGTTTCCAAAATGTTTCACACTCTTTGGCAGTTGTACATATCCTCACTTCTACTATCAGTCATTGAATAAACTTTTGAACTCCAGGTGGGACTGGGATTAAATAACTTCTAGGGTTATTTCTACCTTATTATGCTGTGGCTTCTACTATGTAACATTTTATGTTAGACAAACTATCTCCAAACTTCACTGACCAGTTTGAGGTATTCAGGGATACTCTGTAGAGGGAGGAACAACTTCAGGGAAGCTGGAGGAGTTAGCAAGTGTGGTGGTCTGAATGAGAATGACTCCTATAGGCTCATATATTTGAATGTTTGGTTCTCAGTTGGTGGAACTGTTTAGGAAGGATGAGAAGGTGTGTCACTGAGGATGGTCTTTTAGTTTTCAAAAGCCCATGCCAGATCCAGTTGCATGTGTGTGGTGCTTATGGACCATGTGTAAGTTGTCAGCTATTTCTCCAATGCCAACAAGCCTCTTGCCATGATGATCATGGACGAATCTTCTGAGACTGTAAGCAAGTACCCTATTAACTGCTTTCTTTTGAGGTTGCCTCAGTCATGGTATCTCTTCACAACAACAGGACAGGCACTAAAACAGCAAGCAATTAATGTCACCTATCCACCATGATCACCCCACAATGCTGCTGTAGGTAAATGGCAAGTAAAAAAAAGTTAAGTCCTACCAAAGCGAAGTACTATTTTGGGGACATGACATTTCTTTACTTTATTGAACAAATAAAATACCCCAAACCACAAAGCTTTAAATACTTAGATGACACTTGATTATTCTTAATAAGTGAGAAGTATTTTTCTAAAGCTACAGAAAAGAGGTGTGATGCTTTAATACTTTAAGTATCCAAGATATTGGTATATAATGGACTGTTCAGTATTTGATGTTTACTGCCTGGGCAGACTTAGTATGGTAAATTTAACATAGTGAAGGTTTAAGAAAAGGTATTTTGGAAACCCCAGAACATTTACAGAATGTCTTTAAATTAGCCATCTGTTCCATGACACATTTAGGGTGACTCCTAGATACCCTTAGTTTTCAAAGGAGCACACAGAACATGTAAATGCTAATTTCCTGACCTGTAGCTGACATGGCAGGAGCACATACATTCTAATGAATGGTGGTAGGGCACTTGGTCCACCTGGGAAGGCATTCTGTGCCCAGCCTCAGGAATAAATGACCTTTTTTGCATAATACAGCTCTGAGAGTAGGGGTCCGGAAGCTTCCTCTGAGGAAAACCCTAATTTTGAATATGGGTGGGTTTATGCTACTAGAAGGAAAACAAATCTCCCACCTGTTCAAAATGTGATAATTATTTAGCAGCTTGTAACTGAGGATGAATGTATTTATTTATTTATTTACTTACTTAATTTTCCTTTCAAAGAATAAAAAGTTCCCTCAGCGTTTTACTACTCTCTCTCCAGTTTCCTTCACAGGTTATAAATACACTAGCCATTCAATGTGATTCTTACCTCCAAGGCCAGCCTCCTAACACATTTTCTTAAATACAATGCAATTATTTAACTATTTGTCATTTTAAAATGTATTTTTGAATACTCTAAACACTGTGTTGCAGTGGTAACAATAGATCTGACTAACTTATACAACCTGGTGAGTTGTGTTCACCTGGTGGACCACAATAGACCACTAGGCTGTTATTTACAGAATACAGATGAGGAGAAACCCTTCAGAATGCAAAACAATAACAACAAACAAGAAAACCAAAACAACAATGTAGAAGTCAACTAAAGGTATGCATTTGGAAAAAAAATTGAAAAGAGGAGTTTCTGTGGTGGTAAATAAACCTGGCTTTTTTTTATACAGGTGGATTTCATTTAGTTAATTAGGGATGTCCCTAATTAAAGAAAACTGCTTCATTCTAATAAGGCCCCCAATCTTTTCTTTGCCTCCCCCACTTTAGAATCAAACAAGAAAAGGCTTTTTGCTGCTCTCCCTTGCATGTTAACGGGCACCTGTATTCTGATTTCCTGCACATACTACCTTTCTGGCCCTGAGCTAGGGTAGGGTGTCAGCATGGAAGGTGGCACAGCAGGACTGACCTTTCACTAATCACTGTGCTGCAGCAGCTATTGGCACAGCTCATTATGAAAAGGAATCCTTCAATAAGCTGCTTTTCAAATACAGTCACTTTGATTTTTCTGAGAACAAAGATTATATTTTTACATAAAAGCTTCTGATGGACAATTCTGTTAACTGGGCACTAAAGTAAAAAAAAAAAAAAAAAAAGGCACTGTGTTAATTGTCTGTCATCAAGGGACTACAAACTATACCAAATGTAGGCTGGAAATCTTGGCTTTTGTTATGGAGGTCAGAACATTCTTATTGATTACCTATTGTTACAAATTTTAGAGATGTTAATCATTTCAGCGGCCCTTAGTCATAGAAATATCACTGGAAACCTCCCAATCATTAACCCATTAACAACAACAGCAAGCCCCACAAATAACTAAATATATTCTCCCAAAAATTACAGTACTCTCATAATTGTTCTCCAAGGTGAAGTGTGAGCATGAAATGCAAAGGCAAGAAAAACACTTCAGAGCAGCTGATCCCAATTTTAATATTCAAGACATAAAAAGCTAGTTTATCTGGTATGTACTCTTTACTCTTTTTCTTTATTTTTTCCCCCTTTTATGCTCTGAAACATTCAGAAATTCAGAAATCCAAAAAATTCAGAAAATAGCATGGTCAAAAGGACATGCTTCATGACTTACCAGCCATTTGCTGAATTCCACTGAATGCACCCAGGTTGCTAGAGGAGGTGGCCTGCTGCAGAAGCTACAAAAGAACACAAGAGCTCAGTCAGAACAATGTGGAGACAAAGCAACTTCCTTATTATACTGGGTACAAATTTATTTTCCTTTACATTTTTATGTGGGCTGCCACTCCCTGTTGATGGACTGAAGGGTCCTAGAGCTGGAGGTGTAAACTGATATTAATGTCTAATCTCTACTAAGAAACACAGACACGAGGGAAACTCACTAACACTGCTGCTTAAAACAATAAATCAACTTAGTCATTTTAACAACCAGGTGCTAAATATTTTGACACCAACAAAGCATGACTAATTATAACTCTCTGAAGTCTAGTAGTTACCATGACATATCTCTTCAATCAAAGTCCATTTCCTCCTCTTTTCTATTTTCATTTCCAGCTCAGTTTTTCCTTTCTTCTTTATTAAATAACATTTTAAAATCTTTGTGAACTTCATTCATGTGTATAATACTTTAATCACCATTTTCCTCCTTCAACTCCCATCAATATCCCCAATGTATCCCCTTCCAGACTTATCTTTTTATATCCCACTGAGTCCACTTAGACACCAACATGTGCATGGTGAATGAGTGTGGGAGCATCTATGGAGCACAGGCAACCTATCAGGGGCCATATGCTGACAGGAAAAAATGGCTCCCCTTCACCCCTTCACCAGCAGTCATTAGCTGCGAATAGCTCCTCAGTCAGAGGTAGCGCCTTGCCTACTCCTTCCCCGTCCATGTCCAGAGTTTTCTTTAGCCTTTATCAGAAGCACATGTATGTACTGACTCAGACCAACATAAGAATCATAATGACTACAAGCCTACGAATAACTGTTCACAGTCATTGTCAAAGCCACATTGCCAAGCAAGTGGTCAGCCATTCTTTAGATGGTCTTTGCCAGCAGAAAAAAGGCAAAGTACTTGTCAAAATCTGGCATTATGTGGTATGCACTGAATCTGTGTATTTTAGGTATGTCAAAATCTTTAAATAAAAGATATTAATAAAACGTGAAAGTCTTCATTTTCCACTTTGAAAAATACATTTTCTGCTGTGCAGAATCAGTGTGTATCACAAGGTAAAGGCACATGGTTCCAGTTCTGAAGTGTTCTTGTCCACTTCAGGTGGACTGTAAGCTAATTCAGGTCCTATCATAGAACACTGAGTAGATGTAGAGGCATTTTTCTTTTGGTAAGACAGATCCATAAAGATACAGCTTTCATGAGGGAAACATGAAAGGGTACAGTTAGGTGCCCTCAAGCTTGTTCTCAAACTCTGACATACAGGAAGATGCAAACAGAAAGGGAGAAGGGAAAACCTAGGGATTATCCATTTTAATACATAAAAATCTTAATTATTTGTTGAGTTTCTCATCTATTTGTGTTTAAAAGTGGCAGCCCTCCATAGTATGTACTTTCTTTTTTTAATTAATGTTGTAAAATTAGCTTTGAAGGTATTTTAGGGAATTAGTAACACCTGCTAATCTAAGCAGACTACTTGGGAAGTCATGAAACAATCACCAATAATTACACACTTGGACTCTGGTTTAACACAGAAGTAGTACCTTAAGGGCCCAAAGCCCCTCAGACAAGAAGACTTTCAAGTGACAAAAGCAAGATGGCTCAGAGGTCCTGAGTTCAATTTCCAGCAACCACATGGAGGCCCACAACCATCTATAATGAGATCTGGTGCCCTCTTATGGCATGCAGGCTTACATGGAGGCAGAACAGTGTATACATAATAAATAAAATATTAAAAATAAATGAGTAGAGAAGCATGGCTAAGAACAGACTGACATTAGGGCATGGGAAAACTTATTCACAACTTATAAAAAGGCCATTTTATAAATGAGATTGTTTTATGCTCTTTCAGATTATGGAAATAATTTTCAGATGTGGTCACAAGAACACATACTAGAGACTTCTGTGAACTGTGAAACAAAGGCAATGTGTCATGATACTGAGACAAATGGCCATGTGTTGGTTTTCAGAATTGGTAGAACAAGAAGCTGGATTCAGAAAGTATAAAAAGCAAGTATGACGACAGCATGTGACTACCTTAACAACAAAATTTGTGAAAAAACAATGTAAATTTAAATATTTTACAATTAAAAATTTTAAATGAGTGTATAATGCAGTGATAGAATACTTCACAAATACAAAGGTATTGCTCTAGGGTTGTCTAGTAACTATGAAATCCTACAAACATGATTGCCTGGATGTGAACTGAGCAAGGATGACACCAATAGACATGTCAAACTGGATGAAGCAAAACCCATGAGGTCTCAACTCTACATAAAAACTAGAGGCAACTGAGGAAAGCTGGGGAAAGGAGAAGAGGAGGTAGGTTTTCCCAGGGAAGAGCACACCAATTGGTTGTTCAGTGCCAAACAGCACTCAAAACATAATACAGGTAGCATTATATGGAAAAACAGATTATATTTAGGAATATATATGTATGTGTCTATATCTACATTTACATACCATAACAGTAAAAAAAAGAGGCTATAAATTTGAAAGGGGGATATATTGGAGGGTTTGGAGGGAAGGGAGAAGTGTTTTAATTATAATCTCAAAAATTAAAATAAATGTTAAAAGAATTAGAATACTGATTACTTCTGGAAAAGAGAAAGTGAAATATTGGGGAAGGGAAAACAGGACAGTTCTAGGGTACAGGATATATATATATATATATATATATATATATATATATATATATATATTCATTCTATATTTTCTCTTTTGAAAATAAAATCACTAGGCCACAGACTAGGAAAAAAAATGGCAGCATATATGTAGATTTTAGAAAGACACCTGGCAAAACTATCCATGACATCATCAAGAATACAATGTAGAGATAGCTAGAAAGTGACAGTAAACATATCTTTCACTGGCCTAGACAAAGGCAGAAAAAGCATACTCCCCCCTGCCACCTCCCCCCCATATCCCAGCTCCTATAGAGGGCAGACTGCCTGGGTGGGGATGAAGTTGTGATAAAGGCTGAGAACTTAGGCAGCCGAAGGCCCACAGACACTAGCAGTTATATGATCTAGGTAAAGGCACTTGGCCCCCTTGAGCCCACTTTCCTCTTCTCCCCTTCTAAGTCTGTAGGGAAGATGTCTTAAAAAACAGTACAGCTTTTGTTACAGAGTAAAGCCCATGGGTGTTATGGGCTTAAGAGACATAGTTAAAATGTGAAATGGCAGAGTTAGGACATGAATATGTCCTTGTTAAAACTCTCAGGCTAAAAGAAAAAAAAATCTCAAAATCACAAAATTAAACTTAATTAATACATGTGTAGTATGGAGCTGAGGATTCCAAACAGGCAAATAAAGTGGAGAAGCAGAGCACTTACAGTTTCCCAGCCCACATGGGCTGCCTATCACTTGTAGCTGTAGTAAGAGGTTCTGAAGTCCATGCTCGGGATCGCCATTCTGTCTAGCTTAGATCTTAAGAGAGGAATTGTCTTAAATTCTGGCAACTGTATCTCAATAAAAACAATGACTAATAAAAAGGTAACACTCAGAAACTATGAAAAATATAAGAGATGAATAAAAGATTTGGGTCTGGACTAAAAAACCCATTAGGGTTATCAAAACAACTTCACTGGAAAGACACAGAATAAGGATTGACATTGAAGTCTCCCTACCACTAGTACTAACTGGCAGCTGGTGAGTTCTTGGCTCAATCTCTTGGAATCTTTAGAATATAAAGTTCAGATGATCAGTTACCAAGCATGCAGCATCACTTATTTGGCACAGGCTTTTTATGATGCCTTAAAATACTGTTTAGAAGTTTAGTGTATTGGGTTTTACTAAGTTGCCAACTGGTCTCAGTAAAATGCGGCAATTCTTATGCTAATTATTTAATTAACAAAAACCTGTCCTAATGCTGATTTGATAATTCCAGGACTCAAAATGTATGAAAAGTAAATTTTTTGGCATACTTATGGGAAAGAAGCTTTTGATAGTTTTGGAGTTGTATTCCTTTTTTCTTTGAAGACCACAGAGACCCACTTACCGCCAGGTACTGTGGGGTGAGTCCGCCCAGCCCTGTCAGGTTCCCCCAGGTGGCAGTGTTGAGCTGTTGCATTTGCTGTGCAAGCTGCTGCTGGAGGCGCCTTTGTTCTTTGTCCTTCTGAGTGTCAGCAAACTTCACCACGATAGGTGAAGAACAACCCTGTGGTCAGACACATTGGAAAGTGAAGAGGATGTTACAGCCCGATTGAATCCCTTTACAATATTCAGTCATCATTGGATTTATCTTTCTTAACTATCTTGGGGCACATAGAATGGTCTGGAATGGTTTAAAATAGTTTGATATTCCTTTTTCTCTGACTGGTACCATCAACAGAGAACTCCATATACTATCATTGGTTTCTTTAAGGGGATCTGTTGGTTGGTGATGCCACTTGCTTTTTGCTTTGGTTATTATACTGCCTCTCCTCTCTTTATGTGTCTTCCTTTTACTTTCCAGTACTTCCTTGAAGGGTAAGAGCTTACCTTTAATTAAACTTGACTTACAGATAGCTTGTTTGTGTGTCTGCGATTTCTATATATGGGTTGAGGATAAAGGGACAGAAATGTAGTTGGAATGAAAATATCTCACTCATTTTTTTTCACCATTCAGTTATTTATTTATTTTCAGTTATATATTTCTGAACACTGGAACAGTGAAAATAATTTTGACACAATAAAAGAAAGAAATGTTTCATTTTAGGAACATGGATGAAGGACAGAGATATGAAAAAATACATATAGGCACTGATCAAAGAAATTATTCACATATTCTCCAAAAGGTCTCTTTTCCTCCTTCCATGTCATTTCTGTTCTATCCTGAGTCCCCAGAGCAACCCAAAAGATCCAGAAGCACATTCCTTCTAGACAAAGTAATGTATCTTAAATGGCAGAAGAAGAATTATACACCATTCCTTTTCTCTATTAATTTCACTAGTCTACAAACCTCACTCAGTTTTAATTTCCTTTAAAAGGTAAGGAGTAAAAACAATGAGAAAGACATAGTCAAAGGTCATATAATAAAATAAACTAATTTTTGAGTTAGATTATAATCTTTGGGAAAGTATTAGCCTACTACTTTGAGCAGGATCAGCCTATCCCAAATACCTTTCAAACATCTGCTATTTGGTAAGAATTCAGCAGAAAAATACCCTCCCTCTTGAATCTTTGTTTTGATATGGTCCATCACCATTCTGTTCCATTTTGCTGAGTTTTTTTTTAAAGGTATTTCTACCCAATTGATTAAATAAAACCTTATTATGTGATAACAGCTCTCACAAAAGATATATTCCTATTTAAATAAACTTTTCCCTTCTAGTCCCTTTGGGTCATTTTTCTTTCTTCTAAAACTTGCATGCTTTTCCTTATCACTTTAGGTAGTTACTGGGAATTTTACCTGAATTAGGGCTATCGTGTCTGTTATTTAAGAAAGTGAGAAAAGTGAGGTTACTGTGTCAGTGTAGAACTTCTAGTCCATTAACCTATAGCTCTGGTAAGCAGAGTCATGGTACGGAACACTAAAGATCAATACATTACATTTATTGTAGCATTTCCACCATTAAAAAAAAAAAACCAATATGCCTTTTTCTTTATCTGCTCCATATTCCAATACTTTACTCCTTCTTAAATGAGAGCAAAATATTCTGAAGATGAAAATAACACAGATTAGTTTTGTATGGAGCATTTCTATTGCTGCATAAAATGTGTTCCAAAACGAACAACAGCATCTTCTCCTAATAGTACACTTACTGATTTCTTGTTCGTAAGTATGAAAAAGGCGTAAAAGCATAAAGTTAAGTAAATAACTGTAGCTTTAAATGTGACCTGTTTAAGACATGAAAGAAAAACAAGTGGGGGTAGTGTAGAGGAAAATTAGGAAATAGATTCTACATGCGTGTTTAAAAACAAATCTTTGAACTAACATTCACATCATTTTAAGTTAAATAATAATGTCTTGCTTAAAGATGTGTACCAAAGTTCTGAAAATAGTGTAATTAGTTAAAACTCCAGCAACTGTATGTTTATAGTAGAACTGTATGGCATGTACAGTTCTGTTTAGAGGTCAATTTTTGTAAGTCAAACTGTGGGTTCTTAGTTTAAATATGGGTATCCAGTTTTAAAAAAAGAATGCTGACTCTGATGGAATCATAACAGAAATCTTAAAAATAAACCTATGCCAGCCTTAGGTAGTGTTTTTATCACACACAAGTCTCCTGCACTTTGGTTTTGGTTCATGCCCAGTTCTGCCTTGTGTCTTGATCTCTTTGCAGTAGAATGAGAGACTCAGACCACATCAGCATTCTTTATGAACTCATTTGGGGGATGGTAGCACTTTTAAGTGTCAAGAGAACTAGAAAACCTTATCTAAGGGCAGATAAATTTTGGTATAAATCTCTTAATTATAAGAAACAAAAATAGTTAAATGCATGTATGTACATAAGTACATATGAGGACTATTTTCTTAGTAGCACTTTCATTTTAATGTCTAAGCTAGAAAATAGCTGAAAATCCACCAGTGTGGAGCAGCCTATAAGAAAGGGGAAGTCAAAATATCAGGAATGTGACTCCATGGTATGCAAGATTGGAATCCTGCTTATTATTTCCTATCATGTTTGATTTTCACCGAGCTTGCCTTTAGGTGGGGTGGGAGTGGAATTGTCTTAAAAATGCATTGCACTGCAAGGAAAACACATTAATTATATATGTTAGGAATATCAAAGTCAAAATAAATGTTCAAAATAGACAATAGGCTTTGCAATGCTGATGTCACAACTCAAAAAAGTACAGTAAACACTTAATGACAATGCCATGCACATCTTTCCCACCCTTTCCACCCACTTTCTGAATTAATATATAAAAGTTTCCCATAAAACATGACGCATAATGATCACTTAGCTCCCAGCATGCTTTGGAAGATGCAGCATTGCAAAACAAAAACAAACAAACAAACAAACAAACAAAATAAGTCCCAAAGGAAAACCCCAATCACAAGGGGATTTTTAAAAAAGAAGCTCAAACAATTATTATTTTTTGCACATTAAATAAAACTGAAAGTAATTTTGTTCAAATAGAAAAACACAGCTTCAGATAACACCACAAGGCCACCACCTCTGGAGAAAATCACCCATACACAGATACAGTGTACATAACACAGCAGCACATGCACTCTCAAATGATCCTATCAGACAATACAGAGTAAGTGATGGCATGTCACTTTTGGAATGTTCTTGTGCAAAATTCTGAAAGGCCAAACCCAAATCACAGGCTGAGTACAGAGAGCCGTGCGTCTCCACCTGTGGTATATTTCACATTGCTGACTCTCCTGTTCAAGTCACAACCTCTTAAGAGATTGGATTTGAATCCATGTATTTCTTTGTTGTTCACTTTTAAGTAAAGGGACCAATCTGATTTTTCAGGAGACTGAAAATTATCATTCATTGTTAAACAGAGGAATTATGAACTTTCTTCAATATTCCTGAGATGAAAAATAATTCTTTAGTCAAGTGATTTATTATAGCAGCAATCTGAGGTGGGGTTGTACAGCTTAGCCCATACCAACTCTGCTGTGGGATATGTATTCAATCCTCTAGGTCCAGAAGGACATTTGCTTCAAGTGCCTCACATGTCAGGACCAATGTTACTCCAATAAAAGGCTCAAAGGACAGCTGCAGGGCAAGTGGAAGGTTTCACTAAGGGCTTTTCAAGTCATTAGGTGGGGGGATGCCAGTGGAAGGAGAGAAGAGGGGAAGGGAGTGAGGAGAGAAACAAAGAGAAAGAGAAAGGGGAATGAATATGAGAGAATGAAAAGCGAAATGGTGAAAGTTTAAATCTGTGATTGTCATGTGAACAATCCACACAGGAGAGAATTGCTTTACCATTCCCCATCATTTGCACAAAGAAAACAAAGAAAGGGCAGATGATACAGTACCTCCATGGTCTGAGACTGATGCATGGCTTTGATTGCATTCTGTGCCATTGCCCTTGTAGAAAATGTGACAAACGCACAGCCTGTGGGAAACAAGGGGACAGGGAGCAGGAAAGACAAAAAACAACAAGACAAAAGGGTTGGACGCTTGTTAAACCAACACAGTCTACGAGAACTGCCACAAGACGACACTGTTCTCAGTAGTACATAAAAATAAACAGCTTCTCTCTTTGGTTTCATCTTATTTTGCTTTTTATTCACAGTGCTGAATTGCTAATTTGACCAAGGCAGAACAATTTATTCATCAGCTTTTTTTTTTTTTTTTTTTTTTTTAAAGGGACCTAGGGAACATGTTGTGTACTTTTTTTTTTTTTTTTATTTTTTTAAGTCACAATATTTGAAAGTAGCAACAGGTAACTTGCATACTTGCATTTTCTAAGTCAAAAGTGGGCTACTTTCTATCTTCTCCTTGGCTGATAGCATGCACACACCAGGGTGCTATATTTCAAAAATCTATCACTATCACTGAATGTTAAGAAGTAAATAAGGAATTCATCATACCAAGGGTAAATAAGCAAATAAATTTCAAGATCTCAAAATGTTAACAAATATTTCTAATTCATCTTGGACAGTTAAAAACATATATAAATAGAAATTGATGCTATTCAAATGTAAACAAATATACTAAATTCATTACAAAGTAGTTAATTACTAATTATCGACAAAACAATTACTCTGAGAAAATTCAACAGTGCAATTGATTGAAATAAATTATAAAAACTGTAATTGTACAAAAAATTTTCATGACTTTGGAAGTTGTAACTTTCTAAAAGAAATCAGAGATTTGACCTAAAGTTTAACACACACAAGACAATGTACATTTCTCTGAACATCTACTATGAGACCTGTAAAGCTTTGTTTTTATTTTATCTAGTGCCATAAAATAACCACATCTATAGTTCTGGTTCCTGCTTCTGATAGCAGTACTGGCCACCACGCAGGTCACCCCTTGAACTACATGGCTCACGGCCCTTTGTATTAATAAAAATACTGCCTTGCGGAATTTACGTTTTATTCATCATGTACCCCTTGGGCTTCTTAGAGAAAAAAGGCTGTGAAATTAATGCAGATTTAGGCTGATTTTATAATAATACAATAGCACTCTAAAAGCTTAGCTAAAGCAATACAGACTTATTTCATTTATGATCTCTAATGACTTTAAAAGTGCATTGATTTTCAGCTTCTTTTGCTTTGCACAGTTTGAACTTAGGTATCAGCGAATAATTTAGTGTTCCACCCAATTTCCTCAGAACATTATTATTACTTCTTAAAAGATTTCCAAATGAAGCAGATCTAAACACTGAGAGGCTGAAGCCTATTGTCATTTCAGAGCAGATGCATGAAAGCAGAACTCTGGCACCAACAGTGTAAGATTTTTGCCCCTGTGGCCAATAAACAAAATAGAACATTCTACATTCAAACAGCCACCAGATTGTTTGGTTTATGTAAATCAATTTGTGAGTCATAAAATACATTTTCTTCTTTTGTCCTGCTTTGTATACCTGGTAAGAATATCAAGTCAATACTGCTGTAATGCCTTTTAATCAAACAGCATTAAGAGAAAGCAGTGCCTATCCATGATCCCCATGCACATCCAGTTATGAAAGTAAGCAAATGCATATTTTTTTTGCAACATGTTATAATCTTCAATACTTCCAGTATACTGGAAGGTTATCCCATAAATCCCTCCGCCCCACACATCAGTTGAGCAGGTCTCAAGAAGCAGGCAGGAAGTCCAGTTATTATGAGTACTGAGCTGTTGCATGTAGTTCTATGACAGAGCAGCAGCTGACAAGGCCTCCTATTTAAACATGTTGCCTGTACTCAGACATGACTGCAGCTTCTGTCACCAATGAAAGTAACAGCATTCTCTAAGGAATCTAGACCATGTGTGTAAAATAACATGTAAGATAGATGACAGTACCTCCATTGGCTTCCATATTGATGATGAGGTCTAAAATTATACTTTCAAATTTACTGTTTCAAATAGTATCTCCTTAAAACTTCATGATCATCACTTAAATTACAGAGGAAATGAGACTAAGAGATTTTAATTTTTTGACTTCTTGCCTCGAGACTATAATATGAAGGCCTAAGCAATCACCTATCAGAGGTCTGTTTGAAAGCATATAAATTTTGCTTTAATAGTCACAAAAATTGTTTTGTTCATTTCATTTTCTTATTATCTAGGAATGTGTGCCAAACTGACAGTTTCCAAATGGAGCTTAAAATACATTAGAAGTATGTAAAATGGCAATAAGAATCAATAAGGCACAGTTTATGTGTTCATCACAATTTCACACAAGTTACTTGTAAGTAACTTTGGGAGAATGATAAAGCAATTAGCAGGCACAATAAAATCTCTATCAGCTCAAACCACTGCCCTCTCATTTAAGAAGCCTGCAATTAAAAGCCCAAGCAATGCTTCTAATTCTAACCTATTCAAAAAATAATCTGACAAGTGTGATGACTTCTTTAACCTTTTCAACTTATTGGCAGCAATGCAGGAAGAGAGACACTGTCTTATTAGGGGCTTTTGTCAAGTTCTGTACTGTGTGCTATTCTCAATAGTAGGAAAAAACCTACTATGTTATTTATAAAGTGGGAATACATGGTGAGAAATTTTACTCTGCAACTCTGGGTGAAGTTAAGTAACTTAAAAGTCAACTACTTTTTGGGATAGTAAAGCTTGTTAACCTTTGTAATTCCTCTAAATAAGGAGAGATTGTGGAAGTTGTATGGATAGATTTTAATTTTCTTTTCAACATAAGTACAAACACAGCAGTGGATCCAGTTCTTGGTTTCTGATGTGTGGCTTTTCACCAATACAGGTCCTAAGAGTTCTACTAGTAAAATCAGACACTGTCCTTCCTACAACAGAATGAGAAGGCTTTCTATTAGGCAGAAGTAGCTTATGTCCTAACTGGTCCTTTTTTCTACATGCAGTGGCAGAGACTGATTTTGTAGCATTATTCCTTAATTATTTAGGACTGTTAAATGTATTATCTAGGCAACTAGTACCCTGGTAACTGACTTCAATGCTGGATAAATGTGACTGGAGGAAGAAGGGTATACAGATTAAAACACTGACACTATATTTCTTTTATTTCTGGTTTGGGTATGGTAGTAGCATATATACATATGATTGTCTTAAAACTGTCAAATAAATATAAGAGAAAAAAAATCCTTTTTGTGTCTAACCTGTTGCTTAGCTTGCAATTACTGTCTCTACTTTCAGAATGTCAGAGATTACTAATAGGAATGAGGAGTGGAATTCCTATTTCAGTGAGGCCGCCTTCTTGCTGCTAAAACAGATAGATGATTGACTTGAGAAAGGTTTTACAAAATGATTTCCTCCTACACACAGGATCTAAAGAAAGCTCAAAGCCCTATTAGAGGGTGGGGTTCTCAGAACACATCTATCACATTTGCCATTTCATTGAAAAGGCATATTTCCCCCACCCCCATTTCTTTTCTTTCTTTCTTTCTTTTTTCTTTTTCTTTCTTTTTTCTTTTTGAGATGTTTCTCTGTGTAGCACTGGCTGTCTTGGTACCTGCTCTATAGACCAGGTTTGTCCTGAACACAGATCCACCTGCTTCTGTCTCCTGAGTGCTGGGATTAAAGGAGAGTGCCACCACCATCCAGTGAAAGGGCATCTTAACTCAGGGGTTCTATCTCTTACCTTGGTTACCAAGAGAATTTTACATGACTAGGTGAATTCTTGCTTCACACTAAAAAGCAAAAAACAAAAACCCCAAAGCTAGAATATCTTTAATAGCATGAATGATGCCAGGGTCTCTTAGCTTGTTGTGACCTTTTAAAGAGGCACAGTGGCCTGCTGTACTTCAAACAGAAGAAACATGATTCTGAGTTACTGTGCAGTATGAAAGAGACTTCAAACTATGGAAAGCTTACTTATAAATGAATCATCACCTAACTAAGACATTAATGCAGCCAATTTTCTTCACTGTATCTTTTTAGAACTGGCGGGAATGATCAAACACACAGTACAGCATAATTGGGCACATGCATTAGTAATCTAATATATCATAGGCAATGTTGGAATAGTTTACTGAAAATTGGCATTGGCACATCAATCATTCATTTTATAGCATCCAAATTTGGGTACAGAGTAGGACCTATTAAGTAGCTGGTAAAATCTCACTGCTACGATGGGGCTGGAAGACTATTTTGAATAAGATGCCAAAATGTAGTCAGTATTCCAAGGGACATATAATGAAAGTTTCCACAAAGATGAATGTTTAGGTATTGTGTGGACAGGACTACACTGTGAACAAAACAGTCTTCTCCATATATCTGTCTGAACAGTCAAAAACCCTATCCTAATATACTGCTTGAATACAACAAGGAACAAACAAGGATTTAACTGCTAAACCCAGTCTGTGCTCTTCCCTGAAAACATTCATTTGTCAAGGGTTTAGGCAGGGGAATGTTGGAACACAGCTGGAATATACTTAAGCAAGCAGAAAGAAAGTTACCTTAAATGGTAATGAAGATTTGACTACAGTTTGTAGAAAAGAAAAACAAAATCAACTTTTTCACTGACTCCAAGTTATATATACTCAATTGCCACTGTGGAGAAAATCCCATAGGTTAGCTCTCCAATAACCTTTCTGACTGTATGAATTGGTGAGAACATGTTATTTTAGGAGCTCAACATCCTAAAGTGACACTGTCAAATATGTACAATTGGTTTAGAAACTTCAAGCTTTGCTTTTGAGAGTAAATGTCTCACTGGAAATGATATGCATGGGCTGTGGTGGCCTATTAGTTTTCTCATGGAGAGCTGTCCAGGTGCCTGAGAGGTGCAGCTGTCCTTGCAGAATGATATAACTATTGATATGAAGTTGTTTGAAAGTGAGTAACATGTTTTCCAAAACAAGACAATCAACAGAAAGTTCCCAGTGGAGGAAAGGCCTCCTTAGATTTGGGCATATTGTCCTTTGCATGGATGAGACAAAACATTTTCTGAGTAGTTATGTATGACTGGCAGGGGCTGACACTTTCCAGGTAGATACCTACAATTATTTCCTAAGAATCACTGTCCTGGGACACATATTAGTTATAGTGAGTCACCTCCCCCAAAAGATAATGCCTCTAACTGAAGGTATAAATAGGGCTTGACAGGCACAGCTATGAGCCCTGGAAGCTTTCAGGCCTCTATGCTGCTGAGTGGTGTGCTGGGTCAACAATGTCTGAGGAGCCTTGGCAGAGTGCCTACCTATTAGGGAAGAACTGAAATGGCTGATGTGGCAGAGGAAGAATGGTGGGGAGGCTACCTGACTAATTGTCTTCATATTTATAGCTGAACTGGTAAACCCAGAAGAAACGTAAGTGGCCAATCAGTGAACTGTACTTTGCCTTTATCATCACTAAACAGTCTAATGTAGAAACTTTCTTACTGAGTAGTTTATGCTCTGATTTTATATACAGGTACTCTTCAACAGTTGAGCTAGCAACAGATATTGAGGGAAGAAATGTCAAGTATCTTTTATCTGAAGTGCCACTAATAAGGGACACTTATTGTTATTTGATTGAAAACTAAAATTCTTTAATGAGAACAAATGTAGCATGAAATAGAATTGCTTTTGTTTTTATCAAATACAGAGATTCAGGAGCAGGCTCCCGAAGCCAGGAGTCCTTAGGTCCTGACTGAAAAATGTACGACTGTCTGTCTTCGTATTTCAGAACAAATGGTTGTAAATGAGCATTTTCTTGTTTCCAGTAGGGGACTCTCACTAGTTCACCAGGAATTCCTTTTCTGTTTAAAGCAGTTATGGGGAGGGTATTCTCTTCTTCACATTGAGCCCATCCATTTGCATAAAATATCCCATAACTTAGTATAGGAAGAGGCTACTTCTGGGGTTAAGTATTGGTTAATCAACCAAACAGCAGATCAAATTAGTTAAGCTTTCTTAGTAAGCAGTAAGTGTTCTACTCTTTCCTTTGAAATCTTAAAGGCAGAAAATACTAGTGTATACCTAAAGACACCTGGTGTGTTCCTCACCATCTCTCCTGTACAGCAGAAGCAGTGAGATGGAGGGTCACGTCATAGCTGGCTAAGGTAAGCAGAGGGAAGACAAAAAGCCAGCACTGAGCTTCACACTCATGTCTCTATGCATCCATACAGACAGTAAGCATGCGAAAAGCCAGTAACTGGTTACTAATGTTGTCCTGTGAGAGAAGCAAGACAGATAACAGGCTCACTGCTGTCATATATGAATGGGGAAACTAAGAAATTGAAAGAGGAAAATAAATTGACTAAGGTCACATATCATTATCAAAAATTTTGGGACTGGAAATTAGTTAGAGTCATTGACCCCTGAGCTACTGTAAACTTCACTCTGATTAGTTTAAAGACTCCCCCCCCCCAACGGGTTTCTTCATGCTGTCTGCATTGCTTGTCTCAGGTACTGTCTGTCATTTAAGAGCCACAGTATCCTCTTCAGCTTTTAGAAATTCATCCTTGAAGTGAGGGTTAATAACCAGCATTTCATAACTGACAGATAGTGAATGAACTGTGATTTGCACAGTGCTCTTCCTCCCCCACCCCTTTAGAGCACCTTCCAAGGAAAATATAGCAATCAAAAGTTGGTGTGTCCTAGTTTCTTGAGGGCCTTCATTTGGGAACTCTGAAGGTAGATGTGGGTAAAACTTTTGTTCTCTGGGATTTTAGTCTAGGGGCCAACAACATGAAGCTTTCTGTCTAAGATTAAACAACAACAACAAAATCTTCCTCCAATGGTGAGACAGGTGAACATTATCACCTTGATACTTATGGCCTGGATACTTATTTTGAAGTGTGGTTTGGGTACCAGACCTAGCCCAGAGCTTGAGAATGAGTAGCTCTTAATTATCTCCATGAAAACTGAACTGCAAAATGAAGATTTATTCTTCAAACTGAAAAATGACATATACACTTCTACTTTGGATTGACTTGGGAAACTGCAGTTAGACAATTGTTACTACATACTGTCAACCTTCATGTAGTTTAAGGGAGGAGATGTATGGTCTTCTTAAGGGGGAGGCGAGTTACTGAAAGGGTGATCTGCACTGTTTCATACAGTGGCTTTACAAAATTGTAGTATTCCTCAGGGTTGTAAACCATAGCTTATTGTTGTGGTAAAAGAAGAGCCTACAATTTTCTTAAGGTCATAGTCATTTTTCTGTCATTGAGAAGACTGGACAGTGGACTATACAGGTTTAGTAAGATGTAGGGCAGGACAGGTCTGGTTTCTCTGAGATTATACACCTGCTCTGCATTGCATGAGCAGTGACACTCTAGGCTTTTCTGGCTATTTATTATGAGGACCACATCCTTAATGTTTGTTCAGGCAAACAAAAAGAAAAGTACAGCAAAGTATCTATTCTTATCTTCTGCCTTTCCTCCTTGTCCCCCATATTTGCTCAATTTGAGGATGAAAAGGGGGCACAAAATTAGGGTGGCCTGCCAGCTTTCCATGGGAACCAACACTTAAACCTTTTCACCTGGAGAAGTATGAGATGATCATTTTGGTTACAGAGAGAAGTTCAGCTTGGATAACTTGATCACATGGGATGTATTACAAGCTGACCTCCTCCTGCATGTGATGCCTACATTTTCCTTGACTGTGACACTGATTCCAATTAGCACTTAAGGAAAGAGACTTTACACAGAGCATACTCACCTCGACTCAGCCCGTCGGGTCCCCGGAGAATCCGGCATTCTTCTATCTGACCAAATGGAGAAAACATCACTCTGATATCATTCTCATTACATTTCTTCGAAACCATTCCTATGAACAATTTTCGGTCTTCCACAGCTAGGAGATAAAAATAACAAACGAACAAAGGCCATATCATCTTTTTTTCTTGTAATCAATGCTTTATTATCAACCAGACTTGGCTGTGTAAGAATGAGTGTAGTCCTAGAACTAACTGTAAACCTGTATCTGCTCTCTTCCTCCAGCTCACCCCATCCAATCTGTCTTCCATTTTAACCCTAAGAACAAGCTGTTCAGCTTCTAACTAGCCAGGCTGGCTACACTTGACATGGGAGTCTATTCTAGAGGAGAAAGTCGTTGCTGTTCCTTGAGAATCATATCTGATAGCCACGGAAGAGTGAGGAGGAAACTGTAAACTGTACTAGTTCAAGTAACATGGAGCTAGGTTTCTCAAGGAATGGAGATACATTTTTGGGTATTGTAACATTGTGCACACTTTAGACTCAGAGAGAGAAAGATAAGACAGGTTTTTGTTCAGAGCTGGGAGGTTCCCCCCAAGTTTCCAATTTTTTTTCCTCACAATATTTAGCATGTAAGGCAAAATTACAGCTGATTTCAGGATTGTGTTTATAGCCTTTCTAAAAGGGAGGCCATTTTTAAAGACTTCTGAAGTGTTCCTAGAGATAAGACTTGCTTATCTTCAGTTGTTTCGATTTAATCTATTTCTGAGAATTAAAAATGTGGGTGGGGGAGGAGAGAGATAGCCATACACCTCCAAGACCTGGTTTAGGCCCTGCCATAAGTCACTGTGTGACTTTTGTTACTGAATCTGTATTCTTGCTATTGCTGTTTAGGCGGTAGTTACTTCTGTTTTTTTCTTTTTCTTTTTAAAAGTCCTTTATAGGGCAGGGTTTCATTTCCACGCACACAGCAAGTATTTATTCTAGATTTTGAGTCCTGGTGTCAGTGGAGCTCAAGTGAAGGTATGTGATCTGAGCCTCCAGGGCTGGGCCATCTGTTTCCTGAAGCACTGTTGCTATTCAGTGACTTACCCTGAAGCAACACTGTTGCAGAGTTCTTTAGAATGACCCTAAAGTCCTATGTCTGTGCTGCCCCATACACAGCCAAAGCCATGTGATTTCACTGATCACTTAAAAGGGTCTAGTATGATTGAGAAATAGACTTTTTAATTCCGTCTCATTTTAATTTAAAAATTCAATGCCCTATGTATGTATTATATTGGTCAGTGCAGCTCTGAAGAATGGAAATGAAACAGCTAGAAGTTCGTAGTTAGAAAATTCCACATAATAAGTGGTTCCACCAAGCTAGAGGAAGTAGATGAGATCTAAAGGGAAGACAATGAACATGACTTATCGACTGTGGTCTCTGTTCTCGTGTTGTCATTAACATGAAACATGACCCTGATAACCACCTTACTTTGTCAACTTTTCTTTCTCTTTCCCTCGGCACTGCAGAGAAGGCGACACAGCCACATGCTGTGATTAACTGAAGCACAGGGATGGAGGGTGCTAGAGCAGTGTGCAGAATTCCCCTTCTCCCATCTCCTTCTACACTCAGGATACTTTCCAAGACAACTCAGAGAAAGTCTAGGACTCTTTTAATGTCACCACCCCGAGATAAAAATTAAATAAAGAATCTGAAGAGACCTGTAGTGGGGTGGGACAACAAGATACTTATATAAGGGATAAAGTCAGGAACAACAGTGGTATATCTGAAAAGCAAAAGCAAAAAAAAAAAAAAAAACCACACACACACACAAAAACAAAAAAACCTTCAATCAGAATGGGCTCAATGGATAAGGATAGATTTAAAAGTCACTATGTAGGCTTTGGAGTATCTTTTATTTGGATAAAATTTTCAAGTACTGTTCATTTTGTACTTCTGGAACAAGTGAAATACCAGCTACGTACTGTGAATTAGCACAAACCTAGTGGTCCAGAACACTAAGCTTCAGCAATCCCAGATTGCTTGACAAGGAGCCTTTATAGTCTCTCCACCTGTATGATTAGAGGCTACCTGTGGGCTGGCCCCTGAATCTGAGAGTTTTGCACAGCAGGCCCTGTGAAGAGGATGTGGCACCACCTGATGGAGACCTGGGAATGGTTGCAGAAGTAAGGGAAAGACCACTACTCTGCAGTTCTTACTGATTCCTGCTTAGGACTCCTATACCTACCCCAAAATATGGCTGACAGCAGTATGAGAATAAAAATTCCTGTCACATTTCTTACCTTGAAGAATCTTGATTTAGTTCTTTAAAATAAAAGCAATTTTTAAAACTTCCATCTAGTTTCTAGTTTCACTGGTAAATATGAAAGTAGAGTGCTTAGCTAAAACAATTTTTACATTTTGAGTTCCAGGGTGGTTCTACAGTAAACTATATATGCAGATCCTTACTAAGCTAAGCGATGACCCCCACGAAAGATGAGTACTATGAAAATGGGAATAATTTAAGAGGAAATCTTTATTTTCTGGGTACAATTAAGAATAAACTCAACCAGATATTAAGAAGATAACTCTTCCTTAAAATACTATTAGCTAGGAAAAAAGGGGATGCTAGTAAAAATGTTAATTCCCTTTTCTCTGTGTGAGGCTCATGTCTAATTATCAGTAAGAATATGGATTGCTGAAGTCAATCTACTGCATCCAGAGTAATCTGGTAGGTAGATGCTTTAGAGGAATTAAAAAAAACTAAAGTAACCTCTCTTCTCTTTAGGGTGAACACATTTTGCTTCAGGATTGAGCAAGGACTGGACTTTCACACATGAGGTGCTGCACAGATGGGTTCTCTATGTCATCAATAGCACCAACAGAACTCAAAGGCCTTCCAGACCAGAGGTCAATAAAAACCTTCCTCCCACAGAGTAATGAGAAAGGGTTAATGTTCTGAGTATAAGGGTAAATTCTTAAAGTGAGAGGTCTAGAAATGTCATTTTAAAACATCCCTAATTGTAAGTCTGTGCTAACACCCTGACATACAATCTGTCAAAGTCACACCTGGATGTGGGGCTGCTTGAATTAATTAACAACTTCTCAATGTGTCGGTGCTAACATATGGCACTTAATCACTGCCTCCAAACCTGCGAGTGGCTCCACTCTGAATTTGAAAATTATTTTCCCGTCTTCTAGAAAGTCAGAAAGTGACTAGATGAAAATACTTAGTGATTTCTACTTTTAATGGTGGCTTTGAAGGTTTCTACCTTCCCATGAAAACAGTTATTAAGACTGGCTAGCTCTGAGATTGACAAAAGGACACAGAAGTTTTAGAGGTCTTGAGAAACAGACAGGTCTTAATTAGCATTTCTGGAGTCTAGGAACTGAGATCCCTCAACATGTATGGTTGGAAAGTTAAAACAAGATGTCTGTGTTTTTTTCTAGACAGTTTTGTCCTTGACAACAAGGAACATGACAATAGTCAACCCTGGTTCTAGCCAATGGGACCTGTAAGAGTTAAGCCCACACTTTGGTTAGCACTCATGCCCATGCTTTTGTTAGCACTCATGGTAGACTAGCTTCAGCAACTGCCTTTCAATCTTCCACAGTTGGCACATTCTACTTTGTAGTAAGAGGACTGAAAGTTGATTGAAGACTGGAAGCTGGATGCTACAGAAAAATATATGATATATAGAATGGGAGAAAGGAGCTATGCTTATGCTAGTTAACGTGAGTACTTATATCCATACCTCCTCAAAACATTTTTCATACTATTACTCAATTTTCTGCAGTAGAAAATAACAAAAACTTGAATTCTCTCAATGCATGAGTATTTTAAAGTGTTCTTATTAAACACCCATCAATTATTACTTATCTAGAATAGTATTTTTTATTCTTTCCTTTGTACATCTGGTATAGTAGCACAGAAAACAAAATGCTGTGGAGTAGAATAAATGTGATAGAGAATATAGATTAAATTATAGTTATTTGAATGGTGGATTAAAGGAGGCCACAGAGGTTTAGGATGACCATTCAGCTAAGATGCAACAGTGCAGGGCTGGTGTACAAGATTCTAACATTTCTGAGCTCACTGGATATTCTCAGATGACAGATAGCTAGGGATTCAAAGGGTGGCTATTTTTCTTGAATTCACTTACCCATAACTAACTGATCTGTGATTAGCAGTCCTTGCTCAGAAAACACAAAATTTCAAAATCTGAGCACACAGATAATGAAGAGAGTAACTGACTAGCTGTGATGAGTTCTTTGTGCTATACATAAATGTCAGCAAACTCAATAAAAGTGCAATTAGAGCTCGTTATACTTCTTTCAGTGATATAGGAGCTATTCAGAGCATGTGAACTAAAGAAATCTTTGTGTTCTTTATGCTTCTGAAACTATGCTTACCTGTCAAAAATGCCATGAGGAATCAGAAAGGGCTGCACCACTTACAATTTGAATTAAAAAAGCATGCATTTCTTCTGATTCCTAAGTTAGGTTCAGAGGGAAGTACATAAGCTGTTCATATCCATGCAAGGGAAATTTCCACTTGAGCTCCCCTAATAGTTTTTGAAATATAGTCACAAGTCTGTTCTCATGCTTTGACTTTTCTAATGAGAAATTCAGAAAATGAAGGCAAAAGGAGAACTCATCCTACAAGCAGGTTTGGGGATCCTTAGTCTGTGTATGAGCGTATACTGTGGTGTGAACAATCTAGGTGTGCCAGACTGGCCACTTAGAATGAAACAAAATGCCTTTCTGTGCACTGTGCTGCTAATTTAGCATTAGTATAACACAGCAAATTGAGTTTTTCTGGTGTACCAGGTATTATGCCAAGCTCTTTAAGGACTCTGTAGGAGTTTGTTTGATAAATGTCCCCCATAGGCGCATGCATCTGGCACCTGGCACTTTTTGGATAAGCTATGGAATTTTCAGGACATGGAGCCTTATTGGAGGAAATATGTTACTGGAGGTGAGCTATGAGAGTTCCTACAGCTCATTTCCCTTCTTGGTTCACTTTACTTTCTATGTGTGCTTGAGAGTTTGAGATGACATATCTTAGGTTTCTTCTCTGATCTCCTACCATCATGCCTTCCCTAACCTTATGGACTCTCTCTCTCTGAAACTATAAGTCCAAATAAACTCTTCCTTAAGTTGCCTATAGACATGGTGTTTTTTTTTTTTTTCTCCAGAGATGTAACCAGTATAGAAGCAGATACCAGAGAGTAGTGTTGTTTCTGATAAAAACCCGACAATGTTTTTTGAAGGAATGTGGAAGATTATGGAACTTCGGGTTAGAAAAGTAGTTAAATGTTGTAAGCAGAACATAACAGCAATTTCTAGTGGCAGTGTGAAAGCCAGAAGTACTGAGAGTAGTGAAGGTCTGACTCAAGGGTTTCATAGGGGAATAAGAACTTTATTAACAACAGAGCTAGAGACCATTTCTAGGGTATTTTGGCAAAGAATCTGACTGTTTTCTGTATATGTCCTGAGAATTTATGTGAGGCTAAATTAAAAAGAAATGGACTGCTGTGTTTAATCCCAGTACTTAGAGGGCAGACGTAGGTGTATCTCTGTGAGTTCAAGGCCAGCCTGCTTTACATAGTGAGTTCTAGGCTAGCCAGGGCTGCATAGAGAGCCCTATCTCCATAATAAATAAATAAATTAGTCATGGATTTATTTATTTTTTTTTGGTAGAAGAGATTTTAAATCAGCATAATGTTGAATCTTTGGCATGGTTGTTACTAGTAACTCTTATGAAGGTCTACAATGAGAAAGAGCAAACAGGGAGGAAATAAAAAATGCATAGGTTGATTAGAAACAACACTAGGAAGCTTAATGTTTCAGCTAAGGCATGTGCTAAAGGAGAGACTATGATTGTTAAGGGGAGAAGGGCCCTTGAAGGAGAGACCTCCTGCTCTGCACTGGAACAATAGAAAGGGTACCCTTAGGAAGACTATCTAGATAAGATTCCTACTTAAGAAAGGAGAAAGCCAAAGGGGCTGCTTGCTTACAGGAAGCAATTGCTTCAACACAGAAAAGCTGCTGGTAATTTAAACGGTACAAGGGGTTCATCTCAAGCTGGCAGTTAACTTGGCATTCAATCTAGATGGCACTGCCCTCCGTAGTTTAGAGAGAAACTGAAGCCAGGTAACATGTGGTAGTGCTGGAGTCCTTTGAGAAGGCCCTGACAGGCCACTATATGAAGTTGTGAAAGTGAAACCTGGTTGCAGTGAAAACTAGAAGACATTGGATATGTCAGAGACAGGAGACATCTGTCAAAGAAATATGAATACAAGGAGGTAGAATCAGCTTAAAAAAAATGGATGTTACATCCTACAGCAAAGCTATAGGACTGAGGCATCTAATCTCTTTCAAACGAAAGCCCTAGATACTAGACACAGAGCTATAGGAGTCTGGCTTTTAGTCATGTTTTGATCTAGTATTTCCTTATTATGTCCCCATTCCTCCCTTTTGGAATTTTCCAAGTTTATGTTGGATGTATGTGATTTAAGTTTGGGTTTAATAGGAGTCACAGTTAAGAGATTGCCTTGAGTATCAAAATAGACTTTGAACTTCTAAACAGTGTTGAGACTTTAAGGATTAAGGGACTTCTGAAACTGGACTAAATACATTATACATGAAAGGTCATGGACTTTTGAAGGCCAGGGAATGGAATGTGGTGGTGTAAGAAATGTCTCCCATAGGCTCATTCATTTGATTTGAATACTTGGTCCCAGCTGGGGCTTACTTTACCTGCTACCCCATACAGCTTCCTCAAAAGGGGCGTTTTAACATCTTTTTATTGTAGTAATAAGGATACCCAAAACCCCCTTGACTCTTGAGATCATGAAAAATTTGGGGCACAAAGTTTAGTTTGTAGTAGTTTTAGACTTAAACCAAACACTATCCAGAATTGACACTGGAGAATAAAAGCAGCAAAATGCTGAGAACTTTTGGCATGAGCAATGGGGTTCACAATTTGGTTATATACATGGACAGTAGAGTATAAAGAAGAAAATATACCATCTTTCAATACTTGGGCATTTTATGCCCTACATGCTTATTTCAACTATCTAATATAATACTTGGGTAATTCATGCCCTATGTGCTTATTTCAACCATCTAATTTGTGTGTTTAGAAACAAAACATAAAGCTTTCCATAGACTTTCATTCCATGACTTTTGATATGATTGATAGATAAGTATGGAGTCAAAGGATAGCGAGAGCATCTTTTGGTGGTTAGAACTCCAAGTAAACACACTGAGAGGGTTTGCCCCACATGTTTCCTCTCCTCTGTTTGCAGAGAAAGAGTAGAAGAGTATATGGCAAGTCTGGGGTAGAAAGGGCTGTCTTTAGAGGAAGGTATGCTCAGCATAGAATGCTCCACAGCCAGGGTATCCCTCAAGGAGTGTCCATCATTACAAAGACTGTGGCAAATATCTTATTGAGAGTCAAGAAGAAACAAGAATTCAATCCTTATAAGGTAGTTACCACTATTCCTATCTTATGAATGAGTGAATGCAAAGCTCCATGTTAGTGACTATAACTAGACATTAAACCAGTGAAATGAATAAAGTTCCATGTCAAGGACATAGCCTTTTTTTCTTTTTCAAAGTTACTGCTGTAATACCACCCCTTAGACAACTTGCCTAGCACATGGCACACAGTAAATGATAAATGAATAACTAATGAAGGAAGGAAGAAGGAAGCAATTTGATCATCATCTCACAACAAAGCAGTGGCAGAGTTTCAGAAGTTTCTTGTGATAAATGCCATAGTATAGGGAAAGGGAAATGGCACCAAGGAAAGTACTGGCTGAGACATAGCAGCAAAGCACCAGGACCTTCTTGGGGCGGGTTGGGTGGGGCTGGGTGGGAGTGGGTGATTGGCAGAGAGTGAGCCCTAGCTCTGACAAACCAGTGCTGGCAGCCCCTGTGACAATTTTTGAGTTTTCTTCAAAACTTTATAGTCTAAGAAGAAGCCAGAAAATCTGATACACTACAACTAGCCAAAACAACAAAGAAACCAAAACCCAAAACCCAAAACCCAAAACCAAAGCAAAGCAACAAAAACCTTGTGGAGAGATTTAGAACCCAATCAAAATTTACATTTGCAGATATATAGATCTGTTAGTGCATGGCTTCTGCCCTGATTACTAATTAATGAGGTGCAAAACTGCCTGCTGGAAGGAAACAGTGCTGATCATGTCAGTCTTATGGGACAGAGGAGTTCTGTGGTCTCTGGAGGTAGATTATTATTTTAATATACATTTCAGTAAATTAAAAGAACAAAATGGGGAGGGGGCTTGCAGAGACTGCAAAAAGTTGAAAAAAAATGTGGACTAGCAACCCTGAAGTGACCTGAAGAGTCCAATTTCAATTTTGTTACAGATCTCATCAAATACATATATTTTTATTTGCAGCAACTATATTTTTATTTAATCAGCAGACTGAATTTTGAATGGATTCTGATGCAAATGTGTTGGTACAATTTAGAGAAAAATGTAGTATGACAGTCAAAGATGAACAATGTAAAAGCAAAAATGATGACCTGTTTCTTAATGGGCTATTCATTTTCCAATCATATTCTCCCCACTCGTTAGGTACTAGGAGTAGAACAATGCTAGTCAAATCCCTAGGTTACCAGATAGGGCAAGCTCTAAGCAGAGGAAATGGAAAACCATTCCTTGACACAGTCTGCATAGTTGCTGTTTTCCCCACAGACAAATGAGAAAGAAGAGTGCAGCTCAAGTTCCACCAGAGATGCTGACCATGATGCAAAGTCCCTGGAGCAGTAGCTGTCCATTTTCCAGGGGGACAACAACTAGAGCCGCTTTCTCCCACCCACACCTGACTTGATCTAAAGTAGCAGAAATTATTACATTAGACAGTTGGTTACCACCTACCGTTTGACTTTTCACTATCTGCAGGTTTCATCTGAATGGGATGATGCATCTAAAAATATAAAAGTGAGAAAGTAAAGGCAGATTGAACAACTGTAAAACCAGTGTCAGAAATGTGATACTATTCAAGTAATGTTATAATTACAAGGACACATAATTAATAACAAGGCTTCTAACAGGTGATATTACCTTAGTTTGTTACTTAAATTTTATGTTCAGGAATCTAACCCTAAAGCCATGGAACACTGGAATAGTATTTAAAAACTTGAATTTTAAAGTCAGGCTGGACTATGAAACCTGGCTTTGCCATTCAATATAACTTTTACCTTTATATTATAGGTAATTCTAGCTCTGCAATCACAACTATGTAATCTGGGCTCGTGTAAATTCTCTCATATAGTCTCTTCATCTGCAGAGAAGGGTTCTGAGAGTTAAATGAGAACACATGTGTGAAGTTTTTAATGCATTAGCAGGGCCCAGGATGTGTTGAAGTATTAAGAATTATGGCTGTACCACTTAAATGATAATCATCTTTGTCTACCAGGTACTCTGTTTGCCTTTTGGGTTTATCTCAAGTCTCAATAGGGAATATTTGAAGGTCTATCAGTGGCTTGATTTAGGTACCAGTGTATAATGTAGAGCCACAGAGATAAAGGGAACAATAGGAGCAAGGGCAGGAGAGAGGCATGATCCCACTAACTCAGTTAGTATATATGCAGGAATAGAGGAAACTTGAAATAAATGAGGCTAAGATCCTGAACCATGGTGGACCTGGATGCTCCATGGTTCGTTATACAAAGCTGATGACACTGCTGGGTATGATACAGAGTTTACTCCAAGTACAGAATGCTCCCACTATTTCCAATTAAAATAAATTCCTCAAACTACTTCCTAAAGTCCTCTTATTTGATATTTCATTATACCCCAAGGAACAGGGAAGCCACAGGGTGGACAGAATCACTGGCTGTGCAAAAGCTTTCATTATAATGGGTCCACTCTTTGTGAACTTTTAATTTCCCCAGTGGACTTCCATTATTGCAAGCAACAGCTCTGGTTTTTGTCTAACTTAAATAAAAGGGGAATGGTACTTAGTTATGGCACTTACATGATGGGATATTATTATCAGGTAGTGCGTGTGTGCCAAATGCCTGCCAGTGTCTTTAGAATACCACAGGAAGAAGACAGTGAAAAATAACTGCCAAGTGATAAGACCTTAAGTAATTTAGAGCTTTTGTATGCCCTAAAAGGAAGGATATGTTTATCTATACAACATAGGCCTCAAGATGTAGCATCTATAAGCATTCCCAACTCATACATTTATATATTCAATTTGTGGAGAAGAGACTACTTGAGGGTGATGTCAAATATTATTTTAATTATGTAAAGATATGTTATATTTGTTTAACTAGGCAAAGATGTGTTACATTTGTTTACGTTGCATTTGTTTAATTATATAAAGATGTGTTGTATTTGTTTCACCTTACCTTCCTAAGGCACCTGATTGGTTTAATAAAAAGCTGAATGACCAATAGCTAGGCAGTAGTGGGATAGGTGGGGCTGGCAGGCAGAGAGAACAAGTAGGAGGAGGAATCTAGGGTGGAGAGAGAGAAGAAGAGAGAAGGGAGAGGGGAAGGGGAGGGAGAAGGAGAGAGAGAGGAAGAGAGAGGAGGGAGGGATGGAGAGAGAGAGAGAGAGAGAGAGAGAGAGAGAGAGAGAGAGAGAGAGAGAGAGAGAGAGAGAGAAACACAAGGGGGAAAGAGAGGGAGATTCCTGGGGCCAGCAGGCTAGCCAGTCAGGTAGCCACAAGCTAGCCAGCCATGGAGTAGAGAATTAAAGAAAGGTAAAAAGCTCCAAGGAAAAAATGTAGACTAAGAGAAACAGATTAAGTTAAGTTATAAGACCTAGTGGGAAAAGCATAAGACAAGGCTGAACAGTAACTAATAGTAAGTCTCTGTGTCATGATTTGGCAGCTGGTTGGTGGCCCAAATGAAAGATTGTATAATAGGGCCTGTGCACAGGTCTAAATAGTCCTTAAAAAACACCACAGAAACAAACTGTGGAAAGATCAACAGTGTCTTTGAGTAGGTTATATTCTTTGATTCCTTCTTCCACCCATTTAGCCAGTATGGTTTTCTTATGCCAGGATCTAGGCTAAGGCCAGCTGGCTGTCAAAGGCCACAAGAGAGGGTTTTCCCCTCACATGCTATCTGACTGGCAAATAGTGCAAACATCTAGCAGAGCAACATGCCTAGTGCTGGAGAAGAGGCAGCACACAGTTTCTAGGAACCAAAGGACAAAGTAATTTTTACTTTGCCTGGAAAGGAGAAAGTTTTCTAGCAAACATGGTATCTTGTTCCAGTTCTTAGATTTGTTAGCTAAAGAGAAGGCAGCTTGTCAAACCTACAGCTGTTCCATCAAAGACCCAATGGTAAGAATGAACCCTTTTCTCAGGCCAAGAACCTGAGAAAAGATAGACTAGGGACTTAGGGGTTAAACAAAATAGTACTGTCTTGCTGAAGGAACAAAGCAATAATATGACTCATAATGACATTCTGCCATACTCATAGGTCAGTGCCTTGCCCAGCCATCATCAGAGAAGCTTCTTCTGGCATTAGTAGGAAAAAACATAGAGAACCACAGCCTTACAATTTGCAGAGTGGAACACTCAGTCCTAAATCCATCCTCTCAGAGCTCAGGAGAGCCCCATTTCTAACCTAGAAGCAATCTCCAGTTGATGATCACTTGCAAATGAAAACTTTATTTTTTCCATAGAGTTTCAAATGGTATACAACCAAACAACTCTTTCTTCTGTGTTAGGGATGAGGGCTGTGTCCATTTCTCCTTTCAGCTCTAGCACTCAAACCGGTGAAGACCTGTGAATGCCCTGTGCATGCTGCTTCAATCTCTGTGAGTTTATATGTGCATCCATCATGTTGACTTAAAGGGCCTTGTTTTCTTGGAGTATCCATCCCCTCTGGCTCTTACACTCTTTCTGTCTCCTCTTATTTGTTGGAAACGCCCCATTTAGGGCTGAGTGTTCCAAGGTCTTTCATTGTCTGTACAGTATCTGGCTGTATTTGTTCCCTACCACTTCAGGAGGAAGCTTCTGTGATGATGGTTAAGCTGATATATGAGTCATCAGCAACCATCTGGGGCCATTTTGTTGCTAGTGTTGTTTTGTGGGGTTTTGTTTGTTTTTTCTCCAGCAGTGTTTGGGATACAAACTACTCTTAAAGGCAGGCCCCATGCCCAGCAGCGGATGGACAGCACAAAAGTCTTCTTCAGAAGTTCTTTGTCTAATAATACTTTGTTAGGGAATTTTTATGTTTAAATTTTATATAGATCATTTGTTTTTGTGTTTTTATGGGATTTCCACATCTGCAAACACATGCATCTCTGATCCTATGTGTTTAGTATGCTTTGTCTTTAGGGTTTTCTTCTGTTTGTTTTGTCCTATACCAATTTGTCTAAGTTTTATCTAATTTTATTATTATTCTCTAGATGCCTGTTGGTTTTATACAGAGAGTCAAAAAGGATGTGGATCTGAATAGAAGGGGAGTGAGGGAGGAACTTGGAGGAATTAGGAACTATAACCAGAATATATTGTATAAAAAAATCTATATTCAATAAAAGGAAAAAAAAGTGAACACAGTTCCTTTCCAAAAGGAGTTTATCATGCCAGCAAAAAGGCAGCATAAGGCTGTGATGGTGGTTAGTATCCAAATCTTAGAGCAGCAGTGGTTCTCAATATGTGGGTCTTGACAATGACCCTTTCACACGGGTCACCTAAGACCACCAGAAAACATGGATATTTACATGATGATTAATAACAGTAACAAAATTACAGTTATTAAGTAGCAATAAAAATAATGTTATTGCTGAGAGTCACCACAACATGAGAAATTGTACTAAAGGGTCACAGCATTAGGAAGGTGGAGAATCACTATGTTAGAGGCACTTGTAAGCTAATAAATTGATGGTTTATCAAGTGTAAGGTCAGGATAGAAGATTTAAGTAGTAAAGGGAACCAGGCAGAGTTTTGAGTTTAGAAAAAAAGTCAGTTTTCGTGACATCACAGAGGATAGATTATATAAGAGACAGAGGAGCCAGGATGACACCTAGTAAACAGCCCCAGTAATACTATGAAGGTATAAAATTCAGCGCTGTCTCTTTTGGGGATGAGGGAGAAGAATTTCAGACCCAGATAGCCAGACAGATAGATCCAAGAGTTGTGGCTCAATTAGGGAAAAGGAGAGAAAATCATTTCAGAGGAAACAATGCCAGTGTGAAAATACTACATTTGATGTGAATATGGCATAGCAAGGATTTGGAAATTCATGGCTGAAGCTTGAGGAAGGGTTCAGTATGGGAGGTAGAAGTGGAAGCCACAGGAATTAATGGACTGAAAGGAACCAAGAGCAAGGGCAGAACCATTGAGGGTATATATTAGGAAGCAACATCTTAAAAGGACAGAGCAAGTTGCTGGCAGGAGGGGAGCCATAACAGGACAGTTTTAAGCAACGTAGTGGCAGCACACACTTTTAATCCTAGCACTTGGGAGGCAGAGGCAGGCAGATCTGCAGATCTCTGTGAGTTCGAGGTCAACCTGACCTGATCTACAGAGCACATTCCAGAATAGCCAGCACTGTTACACAGAGAAACCCTGTCATGAAAAAACAAAAACCAAAATCTCCCCCTCAAAAGAAGAAGGAGAAGGAGGAGGAGGAGAAGAAGACGAAGACGACAAAGAAGAAGAAGACGAAGAAGAAGAAAAAGAAGAAAGAAGAAAGAAAGAAAGAAGAAAGAAAGAGTTAGGACTGGAGAGATGACTCAGTGGCTAAGAGCACTGTCTGTTCTTGCAGAAGACCTGCATTCACTTCATAGCACCCTCATGGTGACTCACAAGTGGCTTGAAATCTAGTTCTGGGAGAACTCTTCTGACCTCTGGGTCACATGCATACATGCAGGTCAAACACTTGTAGACATACAGCAAAAGTAAGAAAACCTTAAAACAAACAAAAAACCAAGGAAATGATCAGAGCAGATGGTGTT